TTCGAGCTCGGTACCCGTGCATTTGCGCGTAACGTGTTTGCATACGCTGCATTGTATTTTACGACAAACTACTACTCACTGAAAGCCTCGTTTGTCGTAAAATAAAGTGCTTCGTACGCAAAAATTCGTGTTTTTATGCGCAAAGGTACGAAATCGGTCGGCTGTCGGTCGGCGGGGTCGGTCGGTCGGCTAAATTTCCCGACCGAATGGAAGCCTTAATCACGAATATCGAAATTCTGAAAATCCAGATTTTTTTTCAATTCTGGAAATTTGGAATTGCAGGAAACAAGCAAAAAAAAAACAACGAAAAAAGTCGATAAGCAAATTTAAAAAAAACGCATTTTTGGGGATATTTAAAAATAGGAAAAAACCAAAAAATCCATGCATAAACTTTAAGAAAAACACATTTTCGAAGCTCATGAATATTTTTTCGTTGCTTGTTTGAAGTTGAATACCGTAAGAAACACTCTCTAATACAAGGGTACCCTTCTAATTGAAAAAGGGTCGAAGCGGACCGAAAATGGATCGAAAATGAGCCAAAAATGGACCAAACAATGGGCTTAGAATTTCAGACTTCAAAACATTTCCAGATTTCAAAACTCCATATTTTCTTTCAAATTCAGTATTTCTCAACCATCTAAAGTGGGATACGGTAGAACTCAACAAGGGCTACAAAATGATACTGCATGGATTACTGTAGCTTGCCTATGAGCAAAGTTACAGGTCAAAAACTACCAGAGGTTTTTGACCTATAGGTTTTGACCTATTGCTCATAGACAAGCTACAGTATTTCAATAAATATAATTTTGTAGTTCTCGAAGTCCGCTAGCATATGATACTAGCTGGAGTACTGTACCTTGTCTATGAGCAAAGTTACAAGTCAAAAACCGTCTTTGGCGCTTTCTAACTTTGCCCATAGCCGAGCTACAGTATCCCAATCAGTTCTACCGTATCCAATTTGGTTGGTCCAAAAATGTTGACCCTAAACTAAGAGCTATGACAAGGTACGTTTTCGGCCAATTCTAAGTCAATTTTTGGCTCATTTTTAGCTCCTTTTCATCCCGTTTTTGATCATTTTCAAGCCATTTTCTTTTGGTTTATTTTTGGCCAATTTTCGGCTCCCTGCTGGCAATTTTTGGTCTTTATTAGCCCGTTCTCGATATATATTTAGAGGCAATTTCAGGTCCATTTTCGGTTTTTCGGCTCATTTTTAGCCCATTTTCAGCCCATTTTCGACCTTTCTAAGCAACCTAGAGGGTGTTTTCACTCACATTAAGCTTGCTGAACGTATCCGATTGCTCTCCTCCCTTCTCCGACGTCGCCGAGATCACCGATGCCGATGAGTTGCGCTTCCCACCGCCCACGTACGACGATAGTGACGATGAGCGGACGGATCCGGTGCGTGTTGGCTAGAAAACAACTCTTCTTGCCCCGAGAGAGAGAGAGAGAGAGAGAGGTGACCTAGTCAAAAGGGGGCGGGGCTTAACATTTTGGGGGCGAGAAAACTCAAAAAAAAATCATAAAAATGCGCCACTTTTTGCACTTCACAAGAAGCATATTTTCTGAAAATTTGAAGAAGAAAAAATTTCGAAAATATTAGGAAATATAAGAAAAAATTGAGAAGAAAAAACTGAAAATTTTAGAGAGAAAAAATGAAAAAAAACGCTAAAAATTCTGGAAAATCGATGGATTACCTGAAGAGAGTGATGGTCCTGTTCGACCATACTGCTGCCGCCGAATGGTCCCAAACCGTTTTCCTGCAAAAAATTATAGAAAATAATGATTGCTCAGCTTTAAAAATCTGAGCCATTTCAGGCCATTTTCAGCGTATTTAAGTTAATTGTTTTTCAAATTTTTTTCTCGATTGCTCAGCTTTCAGAAATTGGACTTTTTCGAATTCTTTGAATTTTGCCGCCATTTTTAGACTAGGTGACACCAAATGCCAGGACGAGCCTGTGGCTACAGTAATCAAGGATATGGTAATCAAGGATACTGTAAAGCTTGATGGAATCCTCGAGAAATTAATGAAATTGGAGATCTCAGCTACAGTAACCCAAGATACAGGATGATCCTCATCATCAACTACAGGAACTCCAAATGGAATTCTGAATCTAGAGGATGAGCAGTGATTCTGATGAAGGAACGACTCTAGTCTAGTGTTTCCGATGATCCGAGCTACAGTAATCCGATAGATGCTGAGCAATTAAAAAATGAAAATTGAGGGGTGATTTTTAAGGATTTCGAGGTCATTTTCAGTCCATTTTTGACGGTGTCAGACCAATTTTCGGCTATTTTCAGCTTTTTTTCAGCGCAATTTAGATCAATTTCAGCCATCTCCAACTAAAAATCTCTCACCTGAACATCGCCTCCTCCATTCTCCTCCAACAACGGACGATGTAGAATTTTGGCGGCTTCCAACGAGATGGCATCAATCGATCCGAACATCGCATCAGTCACTTCTGGGAATTTTTCAGTCGCTCTTTGACTGTTTGGACCATTCGAGCCGTATTTCGTTCCACTTTCGAATTCACCAGAATAACACGGAGGTCCGGGAGACTGAAAATGAGCAATTTGGGGATACTGTAGATTTTTTTCGCTCGATTTTTGTGTCATTTTCAGTCTAAAATCTCCGAATTTCGAGAATTTTCCATTAATTCAGACAAATTTCAACCATTTTCAGGTTCAACATATGACGATTCCAGCTCATTTTCAACCAATTTTCAGTCTTTTTTTGGATTTTTTAGACTTTTTCAGTCGATCATTTGTTATTTTTCTCAAAAAATCGCCTTTCTATGGGTTTTCGACGATTTTTAGAGAATTTTTAGTCTAATTTCAGCCAATTTTCAGCTTGATTTTCGGATTTTACAGCCTTTTCGGTCGATCATTTGTTATTTTTTTCAAAAAATCGATTTTTTGGGTCATTTATGGTCAAAAATCGAAAAAGAATTTTCGAGAGTTTTCAGCCAATTTTCAGCTTCTTATGGTCGATTTTTTGCGGTTTTAAAGTCAAATTTCGAGAAATCTCAGTCATTTTTTGACGATTTTGGCTCATTTTCAGCCAATTTTCAGCATTAAAAGTGCCTTTTTATAGCCAATTTTCAGGCATTATTTTTCTATTTTTCTAGGCATTTTCAGTCAAAAAATCGTCAAAAGTTTCGAGACTTTTTCAGTGAAAATTTGAGTCAATTTTCAGCCTCTTTTTTATGTTTTTCAGACACATTTTGGCTCATTTTCAGCCAATTTCCAGCCCCAAAAAAACTCACTTCTTCAAGTGCTCAATTCGGTGTCCTGGCTTGAAGCTGGCGACTCCTCCTGTAAGAAAAATCGTAATTTTTGGATTTTCTAGGTTTACATACATAAAAATAGGAAAAAAATCACACTATTCTACATGCCTACATGCCTGAAAATTTCAAAAAAAATTGGGTTTTTTTGGGTCCAAAAACGGAAAATTGGAGAAAAAAAACTGAAAAAATTAAAGAGAGGAGGAGAAAAAAGTGTTAATTTTTGAAGAAAAAAAAATGGGGTGAGGCGGCGGGCGGTGCCTTTTTTTCGGGGGAAATTTCGCATTTTTTCAATTCCTGGCCTAGAATTTTCAAATCGAAGGTTTCTAGGCCATTGAAACCTATAAGCTTATGGGGTTAGATATGGCCTAGTTTTAGCGTTTTCTAGGCCATTCTACTCAGATAGCCTAGAATTCCCTTTTAGAGTTTTTTAGGCCACGTGGATTTCTAGGCCATAGGACTAGGTGACCCAGTTTGGCCATTTTCTAGGCCATGTGAGCTGGCCGAGCTTTTGGGATTTCTAGGTCATCAAGGTTCGATGACCTAGAATTCCTTATTAGAGATTTCTAGACCACAAAAGCTTGCCGAATTCTGTCATTTTCTAGGCCATGGTAGGTGACTGAATTCGGGTGTTTTCTAGGCCGTGACAGATGGCCGAATTTTGTAACTTTTCTAGGCCATGAAAAGTGGCCGAGTTTTGGCATTTTCTAGGCCATCCATTAAGCCTGTCAGGTAATGGGGTTAGACGTGGCCTAGTTTTGAAAATTTCTAGGCCATTGAGCGCTTTAGGGTTCGATGGCCAAAGTTCGGAGTTTTCTAAGCCATCATAGCTGGCCGAATTTGAGCGTTTTCTAGGCCATTAGGCTTATAAGGTGATGGGGCTTAGATATGGCCGAGTTTGACAATTTCTAGGCCAGCAAGCACCCCGTAGCCTAGCACTTGCTTTTCTAGGCCATGCTTCCCAAAACCTTCGGCCGTATCAGACACACAGAAGCGGTTATACACAAGCAGCATCTCAAGACGATTAGAGAAGAACGTGGGACATCCGGACGTTTGGACAGACAGACGGACAGACAGATAGAGAGAGGGACCACGCAAAAAGGAGAGAGAGTGGACAGAGAAAACAAACGAAGAAGAAGAAGAAGAAGAAGACGAATTAAGGCTGAGCAATGAGCAATTACCATAGCATCCGACATGACCGAGATGCGTAAAACTCTGATATCCGTAATCACGATAGTGGCTGCCTGGAATGAATTCAGAAGACGTTGAATTCCAAAGATGAAGACGTTGAGAGAGGAGGGGGCGGGGCGCCCGGGATGGGGTTACGGTAGGTGGGGGGACACGAAGAGAGAGAGAGAGACACTGCACACAATAAATTAGCAATTTTTGGATAATCGGGTTACTGTAGATTGATTGATTGGGGTTAGAGAGATCTAGAGAGGGGAGAACAGAGGGAGAAAGGGTCTAGGGTTAATATGCAAGTGCGCTCTAATGAGAAAATGGAGTTCGATGGAGCGAATTTGACACATGCTAGCTAAAATAGCTAAAAACCGAGATGTTTTTTGTTAGATTAAAAAAAAAGAATTTTTAGAATTTATTTGAAAAAAAAAGACACACCCGGGCACCCGCCGCCGTCAATTTTGACCCATTTTTAGGCAAAAAAATCAATTTTTAGGTGAAAAATAAGGCCAAAAATCGAAAATCTAGGTAAAAAAAGGAAAAAAGACGTACCAAAAGTGCAGACAGCAGCGTCTAGACCCGATGCACGTCCATGGATAAGGGATTCGGCGGCCGTCGCCCACTTTCGAATCATATCCAAATGCTCCTCTTCCCATGTCAGGTTTCCCGTTTCGTCGGCCTGCAAATTGCGGATTTTTGAGGGAATTTTGGATTTTCTAGGCCATGTTAGGTGGCCGAGTTTTTTGATTTTCCAGGTCATTAGGGTTTGCATGGCCTAGAATTCCTTCTTAGGGGTTCCTAGTCCACCTGGGTTTTCTCGGCCACAGAATCTGGTCAACGATTTTAGACCATTAAGATTAGATGGCCGAGAATTCGTTTTCAGAGTTTTTTTTAGACCATTTAACCCATAAGAACGTGGCGTTAGATATGGCCGATTTCGCATTTTCTAGGCCATCATAGGTGGCCTAGTTTTGACATATAATCCTAATGGCCTAGTTTTAGCGTTTTCTAGGCCATGATAGGTGGCCGAGTTTTCGCGATTCCTAGACCATTAGGATTATATGGACTAGAAATCCATTTTCCGAGTCTTTTCTAGTCCACGTGAGTTTTCTAGGCCATATAGCCTATGAGCTCCTAGCAGTTAGATGGCCTAGTTTTAGCGTTTTCTAAGCCTTTACAAGTGGCCAAGGGACATCCGGACACACTCCGGGACAGACAGACTTCTGCTTATTTCCAAATTTCAAAATTCAAAAAAATGCAGACTTCCGATTTTCAAAATTTCTAAAAAATGCCCTGGTGCGTGTTCTAGGTCATTTCAAAGTGGTGGCCTAACTTTTGCAAAGTGGGTTTTCTAGGCCACCACTTCAAAATGGCCTAAAAATGCCCAAACATGACCCTGGTGTGTTTTCTAGGTCATTTTGAAGTGGTGGCCTAGAAATCCAAATTTGCAAAAGTTAGGCCACCACTGCAAGATGAATTCGTCTCGAAAATTTTTTTAGAAATTTCTCGGAGTCGTGTCGAAAGGACACACTGCTCATAATCCCACAAATTTAAGAATTTCCAAGATTTTCAGATTTCAGATTTCTTTTTTTTTCGGATTTTCAGATTTTTCAGCATTCTAGATTGTCTCAATTTTTTGATTTTTTAGACAAAAAACTACAGTACTACCTACTCACCACAATACTCGGCGGCGGAATGAGTCCAGCCGTCTGGAGAAGTGACGTGGCAATGCATACACAATACGCTCCAGATGAGCCCAATCCCACACAACTTGGCAGCTTGAAACGGACGGTCGCTTTGACCGCAAGCAAGTCTCTGCAAAAAATTTGAATTTTGGGAAATAAGAAAAATTAGAAAAAATAGGTTAAAAATAGAGAAGAAGGAGGGGGGAAGGAGTGAAAAAATATAAATTTTTTTCTCAATTTTCTGGTCAATTTTGGCATAAAAAGTCCATTTTTGACCTAAAAATCATCAATTTTTCGGTCAATTTTTGCAGAATAATCCAGTTTTTGACCCTAAAAATCTCCAATTTTTCAAAATTTTCGGTCAATTTTGACCCAAAAAGCCCACTTTTTGACCTTAAAAATGACCAATTTTTTCGTTTTTTGTAGTTTTCAAAAAAAAAATTGAAGAATAGCGAAAAATGAAAGAGAAACTCCATGCTTTTTTATCACTATCACTTCATTGCACATAGCACAAAAAGCACAACATTCATAATTTTTTAAAACTACAGTAATCCTTGCTTCTCTGCGTCTCTCGAAAATCCGCTATTTTTAGGTGAAAATTCAATTTTTTGAGCTCAAAAATCTCAATTTTTCATTGAAAAAAATCGGATTTTTGAAAAAAAAAATTCTGGAATTTTCAGAATTATAGATTTTTTTGAAATTTCAGATTTTTTAAAGAACTGTTTAAAACCAAAAAATTCAAATTTGTCATTTCAAGACCTTCAAAATGCGTATAAACACGCCCAGATTCGGCTAAATTCGCTCATTTTTGGGTCGCACCACGAAAACTACAGTAATCCAAAAAATTTCAAAATAGGTCATGATTATACTCATTTTGACGCTCTCAACAAGCCAAAATCAAAAATTTGTGAGTTTTTGATTTTAAGCCAATATTGAAGAGCCAAAAAACCTAAAAAATCGTTTTCAAAAAATTCGAATTCCCGCCAAAAATCCGGTTTGGCGGGAATTTGAAAATTTCTAAGCAAATTTTGGGTTTTTAAGAGAAATTTCGGCTGAAATTCAAAATTTCCAGAATTTTTAAATTTAGCTTATTGAGAGCTTCAAAATGAGTATAATCATGACCTATTTTGAGAAAAAAAATGGGTTACTGTAGTTTTCGTGGTGGGACCCAAAAATGTCGAACTTTCGCGATTCTTCCATGAAAAAAATTCGAAAAAATCGATTTTTAGGGCTCAAAAATTATTTTTTTTTCAAATTCAAATATAGAGAAATAGCATGGATTTGTGAGAGACACAGAGAGGAGAGTGACACTCATGAGCTCAATTTCGAGCCCAATTTATCTCGGCTCCTTTGAACGATATCAAAAATTTGTCAACTGATAAAACATTGCTCATTTTATGAGCATTCCGTTATCATTTGAGAGATTTTCGATATCTTTCAAAGGAAGCGAGATAATTGAGCTCAAAGTAGAGAGCTATGCGGTCGGCAGAGCCGACCGCCCGAGCAGTTTGAGTATAGGACTACATTTCTCAGTAATCAAGGAGAGAACAAACTACACACTGTGTAACAGCCGGACTATCAGCTCTGATTCCTCCCGGCAACAAATTCCCGCCAGCCACTGGCGTTGGCGTCGATGAAGGCGTCGGTGTGGACGTGGGGAACGCCGGTGGAGCCGTCGATTGAGCTCCTGGCGATGGAAGTGGAGTCAGTGGAGGGACAGGGAGGCTCAAAGCGATTTCCGCTTCTGATTTATCCGAATCGTTGACTCGTGATGACGTCATCACCGACAGATTCGTACGGTGGAGGCCTTCGGGAAGCGGGGGCGGTGGGAGGCCGCGGGCGAGACGGGCGAGACCACTGTAACAACGAATAAGAGAGCGGCACGCCAAAAAAAAGGGGTAAAATATGCAGCTACAGTAATCCAACTCTCTAATAGAATGGCATATCCTTTTGAAAGCTCTACTACCGTATTTACTCTAATAGAAGGGCAACCAAACCCGGTTTGGCAAGCCGCCAACTTTAAGCCCATATATCTCGGCTCCTATAAGAGATATCAAAAATCTATCAACTGATAAAGTGTTTCTCATAAAATGAGCAATATTTTATCAGTTGACAGATTTCTGATATCTGTCACAGGAAACGAGATAATTGAGCTCAAAATTGACAGAGTGGGGTTCCATCTATTACAGGTTTTTTCTCAATTCCCATAAAAGATATCGAAAATCTGTCAACTGATAAAATGTTCCAAATTTAGAGCTCTACATTTTCCTAGTTGATACATTTTTGATAACTATTCTAGCTTTTGAGATAAAACATTTTCTGCAGATAGCAGAAAAAATAGCCTTGTTGAAAATCAAGTTTAAATTCGATTGGTATAAAAATCATAGATTTTGAATCAAAATGGACGGAGTTTGGAGCATTTTAGTATTTTCAGATCCTAACTCCGCTCATTTTGATTTAAATCCTTTGCCTTTTATACCGTTCAAGTGGAAATGAAGTTCCCTATCGATCGGTACAAAAATCAGTGATTATGGATCAAAATGGGCGGAGTTATGACTTCGGAGATAATAACTCCGCCCATTTTGATTCAAATTCGCTGATTTTTATATCAATCGATAGGAAATTTGATTTTACACAAGACTACGTTTTCTGCTATCTTCAGAAAAGGTCTTATCTCAAAAGCTAGAGTAGTTATCAGAAGTTTATCAACCAGGAAAATGTAGAGCTCAAAATTTCCCACACTTTATCAGTTGACAAATTTTTGATATCTTTGATGGAAATCGAGATAATTGAGCTCTTGAAAAGGTGGGTGCCATTCTATTAGAGAGGGATTGCGGTACTTTTTGGGGGGTCTTCAGAATCACAGAAGTGGGTTGTCACAACACTACACTCTTGTCATTCTACTTTTTTAATTGAAAAAATCGAAAATCATTCAAAAAAAAGGGGGCGGAGTTAGGTTAGTGAGTGTGTTGCACATTCTAAAAAATCACAAAATTCACAAAAATTTGAGTTTTTGAAATTTAAACGGCCAAAAGACAAGAACTTAGGAGACGAACAATTACAGTAAGCAAGTGCGCTTCATTTTTTGCAAGTGCGCTTCATTGAGAAATGAAGAGAACTTGGCTTATTAAAATCCTGAAATTCTAAAATTCTGAAATTCCAAAATTCTGAAAATCCCAAATTTTGAAATACGAAAATTCTGAAAATCCAAAATTCCAAAAATTCCAAAAATTCCAAAAATTCTAAAATTCTAAAATTCTAAAAAATTCTTTAATTCTGAAAATCCAAAATTCTGAAACCCTAAAATTCTAAAATTCCTAAAATTCCAAAAATTCTAAAACTCTAAAATTCTAAAAAATTCTTTAATTCTGAAAATCCAAAATTCTGAAATCCAAAAATTCTGAAAATTTTGAAATTCTAAAATTCTAAAATTCCGAAATTTCAAAAATTTCAAAAATTTCAAAAATTTCAAAAATTCCTAAAATTCTAAAATTTCTAAAATTCCGAAAATTCTAAAATTCTACAATAATTTTAAAACTCAAAAAATCAAAATTTTCAAAATACCTACAGTAACCCTTGCCAGTGCGCTCCATTGAGAATGGAGCATACTGGGCTTATGTTATTTGATGTAAATTCGCTCTAACGCTAATTTTCGATTCCTAGTGTTTTTTTTGTAGATTTTGCAAGCGCGCTCCATAGAGAAATGGAAGGTACTTGGCTTGATTTGATGATAGAATGATGCAAGTGCGCTCCATTGAACAATGAAGAGAACTTGGCTTGAATTAATGATAAAATGATGAAAACTCGCTCTAGGACGAATTCCCTTCAAAATAATGCAAATTCGCCTTAGTAAACGCTCAAAAAGAGTGCCAAACCGTACCTTTTACGATGAGCAACACCGAGCAATAGATACCAGAACGCGAGTATTGCCAAATGCTGCACTCCGCACTGATCCTCACACGATCCCGATAATTTCCTGGCGATTGGAACCAAAATCTCAAGAGATGGCGGTTGATCCTCCTCAATCGGGTACTCGGCAGCCAAACGATCCGCCGCTTTTAACAAATCCTTCAACATCCACGTCTTCTCGACACCCAAGTCAGGAAGACTTAGATAGATACGACCGTCGGCTGAGGTGTACAGAGAGACGTAGGTACGCAGGTCGATTGAGCCAGCGATGGCTGTCTGGAACAAGAAATTGGGCGGTTTTTGAGACAAAAATCGTTAGTTTTGAGCCATTTTTCATGAATTTCTGACCAATTTGGAATTAGGCCTTAAAAATAGATTTTCTGACATTTTTAAACTTGTTTCAGGTCATACTTTGCACTTTTAAGCTTCAAAAAATGGGTTTTTAGAGCCAAAAATTCAAGATTTTCGAGCCATTTTCCACGAATCTCCGACCATTTTTCAATTTTAGCTCAAAAAAGCATTTTTTCAGCCATATTTCCAACAATACCCACCCTTCCATAAACGACAGCATGCTCTCCGAACAAAATAATCTTTCCGGGCGCCGAAACGAACAGCCCACCGTGCTGCGACGTCGTATTTCGATGCATCGGACTCGCGGTTGCCGACACCGACGAGCCGGCGCGAGATGTCGAGCCTGACGGGGAGTCCAGTGCTGCAAAATATTGAAAATTAGACAAATTTTTCAGTTTATTTCCTTGAAAAAATGAGAAAAATCGGAGAAAATTGACCTATTTTGAGCTATTTTACACTCGAAAAACTTCAAAAATGAATGATTTCTTTTTCATTGATTACGGTAATCGTGGTGAAACTCAATGGACATTTTTGGTAGATGTTGCTTTGACAGAAATTGATTTTTTGGGTGATTTTTTTGATTTTTGAGACAAATTTGGAAAAAATTAGCGTTTTCCTGATAACATAAAACTTTTTTGTATTTTTCTGCTGTTTTGAAAACTTTTGAAAGCTATTGAAAACTGAAAATCGGCTGAAAACTGCTATTTTTTTAAAAAATTTACAGTAAAAACTTATTTTCGTGGCGAGACGCGATATCAATTTTCCTCCCGTGCGCCTTTGAAATAAAATTTTTAGGCCTAATTTTTGCGGTTTTTCGGGCAAAAAACGTCGATTTTCAGCGATTGTTGTGAGTTTTAAGACGGTTCTTAGGTGAAAAATCCGAAAAAACACGAATTTTCAGGTAAAAATGCACATTTTGTACCAAAAAATCCGAATTTTCAGTCATTTTTTGGCGAAAATTTTTTTCGATATTTTGAGCAGATTTTTCTGGTTTTACAGGCTGTTTTTTCGACTTTTTGAGAAAAAACACGAATTTTCTGGTAAAAATACACTGTTAACCTAAAAAATTCCGAATTTTCAGTAATTTTTCGGCGAAAAATTTTTTTCGATTTTATGAGCTGATTTTTCTGGTTCTCAGACGGTGTTGCGACTTTTTTGAGAACAAAACACTAATTTTCAGGTAAAAATACACTTTAAACCTAATAAATTTCGAATTTTCAGTCATTTTTCGCGAAATTCAAAAAACTATTATTTTCAAATTTTGATAATTTTTTGGGCCGATTTTTCAGATTTTTCCGGTGAATTTTAGCGATTTTAAGCAATTTGAAACTTGAAAATTCTAATTTTGCGACCTAAAAAACACAATTTTCCGCACAAATTGACCAATTTTGATCAATTTTCACTTCTCGGTGAAAATTTTCTCTCGGCAAACACAAATCGAAACC